TTTAATGTGGCGCTGTGCTCTGATGTTGTAGGAGAAAACATTTATTAAAAAGTCTATTTAATTAAGTAGAACGTGTTGTCTATATTTATTTAAAGTTGCGCATATCGATGTGACGTCACATTTCTCACCCTCCCCCCCATCGTCACAAATGTCTGACCCCCCCCCCCCCGTAGCTGCGTGACGTCATTTATGGCCGGCCCCTTGAGAGTAAACGCACTACAACATTTACAAATCCACAGAATTGTTGAAAGTGAGGGACCAGAGCATGGACGCATGTAAATAAGTATAACCCGTAAAAACAAAGTTTTTCACTATAAATCCTTTATATGCGTGGCGGCTAGAGTCCTCTCGTCCTCTGGCTTGAGATGGCTGCCACCTATGGGTCAGATGATTGTCTGCCAGTATTAAGCAATTGGTAATTAAATATTTAATTTGTTTTCCCTAAACAGTGTAAAATTTTGGAAACAAATTTCCACGAACATTAATTGTCTCGCACAACGAGTCTGTGTGCAAAATGTCAGCTCGATTGGATCACGGGAAGTGGGTTAAAAAACGACCGAAAGATTTGCACGGTCGTAAGCAAGCACGCAAGCGCGCAAGCAAGCGAACTTAATATAAAGGATTTCAAAATAATGGACGAATGTCAAAGCCAGCGTCTCACATTTAGCTTGCATATTTATTTTGGCCTTCATAGGTGCTACTCGCTAACAGCACTTGCCCCCACAGTCTGTTAAGGCTACACGGGGCGTCTGTGTCTTTGTAGCATGAGAGGAACCAGCCGATCATCACGCACCACGCGTTCCCGATTCAATTCGCGGTCTGACGCTCAAACTCTTCCGTTCTGGGAGGTGACGTCACTTGAAAAATTGTCATTTTGCATATCGCCCGTTTTAACGTGTTTGGGGCCGTCCATAAATGACGTCACGCACCTGGGGGGGGGGGGGGTCAGACATTTGTGACGATGTGTGACGAGGGGGGGGGCGGTTGAGAAATGTGACGTCACGTAAAAATGCGCAACTTTAAATAAATATAGAATTGTTATAAAAACACTAATTGTTATAACAACACTCCTACAACATCAGAGTGCAGCGCCACATGAAATACGCACTACAATGACAATAGTTGAAAGCGATTTGAAGCATGTTTTATTTTCAAAATGGAAATATGGTTTTTTGGAGGGGGGCAGAGTTTTGTGACGTCATATCACCCAAAATTGCGTGACGTCATTTATGGACGGCCCCTTACTGGAGGACACAATCACTCGAAACCTCTTCAATTGCCCCCTCCCCGCCCCCCCGTAACGTAATTGTACTCTGAATCATTTCAAAGTAAATTGTCCAAATCAACAAATCGTCGTTACGGGATATTTATTTTCTTAAATAAATATATTTTTTTGTTCGTACACTATTTTAAAGTGGTTGTGTGTTTGCCCTGATCTCTGCTTTGGTATTTTTTTTTGCGCTGTAATCGCTGAGCAACACTTCATTTGCCTCATTGTCAGAAGCGATCCAGATATCACAAATTATAACTCAACGAAGTGGTTCGTTTTTTTTTTGCATTTCCCATGGGTATGCTGGATTCCTCTTGATATGCAAATTATTTTGTCAAGGCGCCCCCTTTCCTCCCCCCCCTCCAACCCAGCTTATATATATGCTCCAAGCTCGTGTGCTGTTTCATTCAGACGCTGTCGACTCGACAGACCTGGTTTCACCTGAGGACGGCTACTTGCGTTGTGGCCGAAACGTCGTGAGAATTATTTTATTGTGTTTTAATTTTATTATTTTATTACTTCCCTTCTACGTGATGACTTTACCGAAAGAACCAAGAAGATGAAGTGGTTCATCATCATCATCACGTGGACATTTACAGCAGCCTCTAAACGCGTGATGTTGATTCTAAATGTGGAGGGAAAACCCGCAGGACCCGGAGAAAAATCCATGCGTCCACTGGGAGAGAGAGAGAGACACGCAAACTCCAAATATACAGCAGCAGGCGTCAGGGTCGAGATCAAACCTACGACCTCCTGTACACCAGGCGAGGTAGTTAACATCTCATAGCTACCGTGATGATGATGAGAGACACGCAAACTCCAAACATACAGCAGCAGGCGTCAGGGTCGGAATCGGACCCACAACCTCCTGTACACCAGGCGAGGTAGTTAACATCTTCTAGCCACCGTGATGATGAGAGAGAGAGAGAGACACGCTGACTCCAAATATGCAGCAGCCGGCGTCAACGTCGAGATTGAACTCACGACCTCCTGTAGACCAGGCGAGGTAGTTAACATCTCCTAGCCACCGTGATGATGAGAGAGAGAGACACGTTGACTCCAAATATGCAGCAGCAGGCGACAGGGTCGGGATCGAACCCACTACCTCCTGTATATCAGGTGAGGTAGTTAACATCTCCTAGCCACCGTGATGATGATGAGAGGGAGAGAGAGACACGCTGACTCCAAATATCCAGCAGGCGTTAGGGTCGGGATCGAACCCACGACCTCCTGTATATGAGGCGAGGTAGTTAACATCTCATAGGCAGCGTTGCGTCTTGTCATTGGTTGCGCGGGCCACTCTTGAAAATAAAACTCCTCCTGCTCTCTTGAGCTCACTCAACATGGCTATGCACAAAATACACCTGGAACTTTGAGCTCCGTCAAATATAAATATATATTTTTTAATTATCGGATAACATATAGGTGGGTGTTAATGTGTAGTTTACCGGCAAGCTAAGGTCCTATAAAAGCCTCAGTATTGGCAATAGACCTCTCCTTACCCCTGTCCTAGACGCATTCCTGCATCTGTCCCATGTGGCTTCACCTAACAACATTGCCACACGTCATACAATACAAATAACGGAAGAAACATCGCCAAATTAGCAGTTTTAATTAAATGAGCATTAGCATATATATATATATAGCATCCTTAATCAGGGTTATACAAAGTTAAGGATGCAGCCGTGAAATTGCTGGCACACGTCACCGCTCGCAGAAGGGCCTGGCACGTGGCGTATTTGGCCTACTCTTCCAGGCTGGACAGATGTCTTGGAGGAGGTGAGAGCGGCCAAACTTTACCCCACCGATCGAGTGCGATGTTGTGAGCGCGAGATCGAAACACTCGCACGAAATGGGGGAGGGGGGGGGGGGACACGTGCTGCTGAACATTGGAGCAGTGCCGGATTATCGTAGCGGCAAAAGTAGCTACATGTGTAGTAGCTGCTACTACATGTGTAGTAGTAGTGTAGTAGTAGCTACATGTGTAGTAGTAGCTACTGTTGTAGTAGCTACTACATATGTAGTAGTAGCTACATGTGTAGTAGCTGCTACTACATGTGTAGTAGTAGTGTAGTAGTAGCTACATGTGTAGTAGTAGCTACTGTTGTAGTAGCTACTACATATGTAGTAGTAGCTACATGTGTAGTAGCTGCTACTACATGTGTAGTAGTAGTGTAGTAGTAGCTACATGTGTAGTAGTAGCTACTGTTGTAGTAGCTACTACATATGTAGTAGTAGCTACATGTGTAGCAGTAGCTACTGTTGTAGTAGCTACGGGACCCGCGCTTTCAAGGGCCCCCGCGCCAAATACTTTCAAGCTATCAATTCCTGTTCAGTGATTCTGCACTAGCTCTATTACTATAGTACTATACCGCCGTCGACTGTTATGAAGGAGATGCCTCATAGTGTAAACCATTGGGAGCTGTACGCTTTTTAAAGCCAGATTGAAAACTAATTTCTTGAGAACTGCGTTGTTGTGGTTGGTCCAACAAACGCACAAATCGCGTAGCGTCATTCCACGAACGATCCTGAGACCTGCGACGATTCAGAAGCGAGCCCGGGCGCCGAAATTGCGCTTGACACGTTGCGTCCACCTTGTGTGTTGAGCTTCTTTCGCACCGTACGCCAGCCAACCGTGCCGCTCGGAGGTGGAGGCGGAAGAACGACACGCGGAGCACGACAAGCGCTTCGAAAGAAGTGAGTTTTCAATCGGGATTAAGTGCGCGTAGCCCCAGTGGCTCCCTTTCATCAACAGGAGGAGGAACGTTCCAGACGGCCGCCAAAGCGCATCTGAAAGCGAAGCGGGAGGCGGTGACCACCCACCGTCCCTCGTCCGATGGCCGAGCCAAAACACGAGCCGTCTTGCCACTCGACACGACCCGGCTACACTACAGCAAAGCTAAAGACAAAGATCCCCCGTATAGCATTTAACAGACTGTTGGGGCAAGTGCTGTTCGCGAGCACCCATGAAGGCCGGCGCGGCACACGAGGGGGTGGGTGGGCCTGCACCACGCCCGACAGCCTTTGTCTCCCCAGAGACGTCGAATTTTACCCACACCGCACCGAGTACTCATTTGAGGCCGAGTCGACCTAGAGGAGGCCCAGGACCGGTTCAGGTAATCGTCACCGGTGTTTGTGGCCGTGAACGGGAGGGAATCGAACTCGGGCCGCCGAATTCGTAGCGCAGCGTAGCGCTAACCGCTGCACCACTACTCCATACTTCATAATTATTAAAGACAAAGACCCCCCGTGTAGCCTTAACAAACTCTTGGGGCAAGTGCTGTTAGAGAGCAGACGTGGGGGCTGCGTGACCAACACCACGCCCGACCGCCTTTGTCTCCCCAGTAGCGACGCTTACACACCGCGCAAGGAACTCATTTGAGGCCGAGTCGACCTAGGGGGGGGGGGTGGGGGAGGAGTGGCGTAGCCAGCAACGATTAAAATAATAGCAGCACACGAAATCACGCGTTGGTAACACACTCGTCGAAAGGAGAGTACTGGAATACCTCGTGCCTAACGAGACGTACAAAAACCTCTTCTTTTACGAGTTATAGAAAGTTGATGACTGGGTGTTGGGTGCTGCTGGGACTCGGTACGTCTGTCACATGACAGAGAGCCGCGCGCCTGTCAGCTGCCCAGGGCGTAACAAGCGAAGGATGCAGAGAGCTGGGGGGGGGGCAGGCTCTCTCTCTCGCTCTCACATTCTCGCAGGGAGAGCGCTCCCGTTATATAAGGCGGTGGTGAACGGAGCGAATGTTTTGTGGGACGGCAAGGTGGGTTAAAGGTGGCATCTCTCTTTGGGTTTTTCAGCTCGTCCGTCCGTCCGTTTGAGTCGCCGATGGAGCAAGCCGGCGTGGTCAAGTTGGCGAGCATCGTGGTCGTCCTGTGGGCAGTAACCAGGCAGGTGACCTGCCTCAAACGTGAGTCCACCCCTGTCCTCCCAACGAAAAGATCCCACCACCACCACCATAATTTATTACAACACTTTATCGAACTTGGCCCAGTTTGTCTTTTAATATTTTTTCAAATCTTCTTAGGTTTTTTCGGTAAAGTCACGTAGGTAAAAAAATTAATAAAAGTAAAATAAAAATAAAATAAAAATCACGACGTTTCGGAGGCAACACAAGCCTCCGTCTTCAGGTGGAACCGTCGCAGCACGATATCTACGTGACTTTACCGAAACAACCTAAGAATATGAATCCTTGCAGTCACGAAAACTTCAAATCTAGAATGTTTTCAAATCTCTGACGCTTATTTATATATGTCTTCGATAATACACATGTTTTCTTGGGGGAGTTAGATCGCATAAATATAAAAATGTGTCCTTAGACCCGCCACCACCCGACACAGCCGATTCGTAAGGTTGTGTCAATTAAACAGAACGTGGACAATTCGTCACTGGTAGAGCACCACCGGCTGCGTGTTGGGGAGTAAACCCACTAAGACATTCAAAGATTTAATATAAAGTTACCAGTTCCACTTCTCCGCAGATCCTTGGGGGGCCTCTTTTCGTGTTTTTTTAAAACTTAATTTTCATTGCACTGTTTCAAATGTATGACAATAATTTAGTTTGAAAAAAAAATACAAATAAATTCCATGGGCACACACTTTTATTTGCCCTCAAAAGTAGAAGATACATTCTTTTGACCCCCAGAATTAGTCAATTTTGATGCGCCGCATGAAAGTGTGTGGCTCGCACGAAGAACATTAAACGCATCGAAAGGAAACCACCCACTTTTATTCAGCGCGTCAAATTTTATTATTTCTGGGGTCCACGTAATTTATTTTCTAGTTCTGAGTGCTAATTAAATGTGTGTGCGTTGAAATTTTTTGGACCCAATTATTTTGTTGCCAGGATAACAGTGATGAAAGAAAAAATGCTTCGCCCTTTCTGGCAATAAAAACAGAAAGTGTTAAGATGTTCAAACAGCTAATAGACACCTTTTGCAAGGTATCAAGTCTGCATGAGTCACACATACTCGTGGCAAAACATGTAAACAAACACGCTCTGATAATAATTATAATATAATATACGCGTAACTTTTTATTTCTTTCGGTAAAGTCACGTAGAAAGAAAATAAATTAAATAATAGAATACGACGTTTCGATTGCAACACAAGCAATCATCATCAGGCAACGAATGAATGAGAAAAAACAAACCTAGTAAACTTAGAAATAGAATGCAATACAACACAGAGAGTCGGCTAACATAACAGTCAACGCCCTACCTGGTTGCTTAACGTTCTTCCAAAGGCACGAAAGCTCCAAATCAAATTTCGATTTAAAGCTTTCGTGACTGCAGGGATTCATCTTCTTGGATCTTTCGGTAAAGTCACGTGGAAGGAAAATAATAAATAATAAAAATAACACGTAATAAAATATAATTAAATTTCGATTGAAAGCTTTCGTGACTGCAGGGATTCATCTTCTTGGTTCTTTCGGTAAAGTCACGTAGAAGGGAAATAATAAAATAATAAAAATAAAACATTATAAAATACAATTCTCACGACGTTTCGGCCACAACGCAAGCAGCCGTCCTCAGGTGAAGAACAGGTCTGTCGGAAAGACAGCGTCTGAGGGCGCTGTCTTTCCGACAGACCTGTTCTTCTTGCGTTGTGGCCGAAACGTCGTGAGAATTATTTTATGATGTTCTATTTTTATTATTTCATTATTTCCCTTCTACGTGACTTTACCGAAAGAACTAAGAAGATGAACGCGCGTGCATCACACGTTGGAGCAGGGCGGCTGGAGCACGCCACGTGACACACACGTGTCGGTGATGTGCAGCGCGTCTTCTTCAAGTTCAAGTTCATTTATTAGGTGTAGCCCTGTGAGCCATTCAGCTCTTGAATCGGGTGCAACCGCAACAAACAAAAAACAAAAAACATGAACAAAAAACATCTTAAAGTGAATATGTGACTAAGTGCAAACAGAAAATCCAAGAAAAGACAGCAAAAATATTGCAGAAAAAACACCGTACACCAACGCTGTGTGCAAAAATCCCAGTGGGATGCAAGTCAAACAACAACAACAACCACAAGACAACTTAGATTAAGGCCATCAGTCTAACTCTGTGCTGGGGAGCCGGACAAGCCCCTCTCTGCACCAGCGTGGACGGCACCCTCGTGGTGTTCACCTTCTAAAGCGCTCGCTCGTCACCGTGGCGTGCGAGATGACCACCACCACCACCACAACCACCACCACCACCACGTGACTTTTCTTTCGTGTTGTGCGCGGTGCTTTTAGCGCCACGGCGCGTGGATTTGTAGCGTTTATTTCCATTTGTTTGCTGGTGACTTTGTGTGTTTCATATCGAAATCGCCTCCCGTGCTGTTGCTGCTGGCGGCAACAAAAGTTGTTTAAGAGTCAAAGTCTGAAACAACAACAGCAGCAACAGTAGTAACAACGACGCCGTTTTTGAGTCTGTCGCAGAGACTGGTTTAGGATTCTGTGGACGGAATCGCGAACCACGAGCTCAGTAGCGTGTGGACCAGGTCTTGCAGGGCCGGAGGTAACCCCTGTGACCTGCGGCCGCAGGTAACGCAACGGCGGAGCCAGGATTTTCAGTGCTGAGATGTTAACTACCTCGCCTGGTATACAGGAGGTCGTGGGTTCGATTCCAACCCTCATGCCTGCTGTATATTTGGAGTTTTCGCGTCTCTCTCTCTCTCAGTGCTGAGATGTTAACTATCTCGCCTGGTATACAGAAGGTCGTGGGTTCGATTCCAACCCTCATGCCTGCTGTATATTTGGAGTTTTTGTGTCTCTCTCAGTGCTGAGATGTTAACTACCTCGCCTGGTATACAGGAGGTCCTGGGTTCGATACCAATCCTAATGCCTGCTGTATATTTGGAGTTTGCGTGTCTCTCTCTCTCTTTCTTTCCCTGTAGTCGCGTGGATTTTTCTCCGGGTCCTCCGTGTTTTCCCTCACCACATTAAAAAGAACACGCGTTTAGAGTAGATGGCTGCAAAAAAATGTCCACGTGATGGTAAGCCAGGTCGTCGTGATATCAACTGTGACAGTCAGGGTCGCTTCTGAAGAAGATCACTCTATAGCAGCTCAGTGGGCCTGACCTGGTAAAACAAAAAAAATAGTTTTAGTTTTAAACGAGGCGATGGTTTTTGGCAGTGATGTTTGTTTGGTCAGATTCCGGACCATTACCTGAAATGTCACCACTCATTCACCCACTCACTCACTCATCAAACATCCACCCACTCACTCACTCACCCACTCACTCACTCACCCATCAACCCATTCACCCACTCACTCACCCACCCGCCCATTCACCCATCAACCCATCCACCCACTCACCCGCCCACCAACCCATCCATCCACTCACTCACCTATCCACCCACTCACCCACCAACCCATCCACTTATTCATCCATCAACTCACTCACCCACCAACCAATCCATACATTCACCCACCCACTCACCCACCAACCCATCCACTCACCCATCCACCCACCCACTTACTCACCAACCCATCCACTCACTCATCCATCCACTCACCCACCCACCAACCCATCCACCCACTAACTCACCCACCCACTCACCCACCAACCCATCCACTTATTCATCCATCAACTCACTCACCCATCAACCAATCCATACATTCACCCACCCACTCACCCACCAACCCATCCACTCACCCATCCACCCACCCACTTACTCACCAACCCATCCACTCACTCATCCATCCACTCACCCACCCACCAACCCATCCACCCACTCACTCACCCACCCACTCACCCACCAACCCATCCACCAACTCACCCACCCACCAACTCATCCACCAACTCACTCACTCACCCACTCAACCACCAACCCATCCACCCATTCACTCACCCAACCACCCACCACCTTCAAGTTTATATTTGGGGAAGTGTGAAGTCACGCATTCCGTGATTTGGCGTTCGCGGCTGCAGTCGCACACAAGACAGCCTTTTATTTTCCACTATTTTTATTTTTAAAAATAAAGACGTGTCACAAATGCTCACACAATCTGGAAATTATCCAGGCGTGCCAGCACGGTCACACACTAAACACTGGCTCATACATCCCACACTTCACACCAATTATCGGCACTCTTCACACCAATTATATCTTCCTCTAATTTTATCCCAATTGTCCAATCGGTGCGAATGTCACGAGACGATGAATTCATATCGGAGAGCAGTGAGTGTGACCGCTCCGCGTTAGAAGGCGGCTCAGGGAAGTGGAGATTACAGAGCTACATCCGAGGTCCCTTTCAAGCAGTGGTTCTTAACCTTTGCTGTAGCCTTGCACCCCTTTCGGTTCTCAATCGTTAACACGATGGATAATGCTAATAAATACATCGGGTTTCATTAAACGAATTTAGTTGTAACGTCCGTGCGCCGTGCTTAATCTGTTGCTATCGATGATTTACCTTCTAGAAAAACATTTATCTGGCCATGGCTCGCACCCCCAGAAAGGGAGCATCTCGTATCCCAGAGGGTGCAGCGTGCACCCCAGATCAAGAATAAGAACCACTGCTAAGTGAATGTGGACCAGGGGTCGCTTTAAAGCACTGTTGACTACGTACGGTGCGAAAGAAGTTCAACATACGTACATGGTAGAGAGGCACCATTTCCCCACTCGCTCTTCTACAAAGTAAGCAGCCGCCTTCTGTTGCCCGAGAGCCAACGTGGTGCCCAGGCTAAGCGCCCACGAACTTGGGCGGATTTGAGAACTCGATTGCAATGCCATTCAGACGTTCATTCATCCACCCATGCATCCATCACCCGCAGGCCAGCGGAGGGCCAGGCGCGTGACCATCTCGCGCCAGCGTCCGCATGCTTTTTGCGCTTGGCTGTCTCGAGTGATTTGTTTTGATCACACGGATCACGGGGGGAGGGGAGGGTGGTGACCACGTGAGCTGTACATTCCTTTAACCCAG